GGGGCCCCAGAGAACAGCCCCAGCACTCATTACATGTATCTGGGAGGGGGAGGCTGCCTCCGCGTGGTTGTTTCCCACACCGCTATCCAGGATTTCCTTGTCTCTCACTGGCCCACACTGGCTTCTGCCTGCCCAACCCGAGTCATTCACTGGAAGCTGGAATTTCAGAGTTGACTTTATTAATCATTTAAAGGGCAGCAGAATCAATCCACTCCCATCTCAGACCTCTGTACCTTCCGGTTCATTGACTATGCCTGACTGGATGAGTAAGATTAAGCTTATGAGAGGTGGGAATTCTAGAAGCATCTGGAAAATTGGCAATGAATTTGCCCAGAAATAAGCCACGGCTGCCCGATTTCAGAGTTCACAATGCTGAAGGTTCACAGGCCACCTGGAACCATCCTAATTCAGCACTAATTGGCCTAAAATCCCTAAAATTGCTTCTCGAATACAGATGGCGTAGGCAGAGGAAACTCAACATGCTTAACATTATCACCCGCTGCAGGCCCCTCGAGAGATCCCTTTAGAGCATTGCATTGCATAAGACTGAAGTACACAGAAGCTGATTTGTGCTCAGCTGTCCCATCCTCCTGATACCATCCAAGCAAAAGCCAGCTGACCACTGCTGAGTCTTGAACACTCCCTAACGCCAGCTAATCTCTCTGTAACAATTACTGAGTGAATCTTAGGTTGGGAGCTTTGAAGGGCAGCTTGTCTGAACTTTCACGCACTAGTGTGCATTCCTTTTATTTAATGTTATAGTTGCTTTGTATCTTTGATAAGCAAGATCGGTCTTCCCATTTAAATTTAAATTCCCTTTAAGAACAAGTCTGTTGAAGGAAAAGAAAGTTGGCCAATAGGATCGATTTGGAGACCAGCGTTTGCCTGGTTATGCGGAGGATTATGATAGTATTATGTACCAGGACATGATATGGCAACGGTGTGAGAATGTTATGTATCAGTACGTGCATATAGCGGCAATGCGAGAGAGGGATGAAGACAATAGTTTTGAAGAGCGTTTACCTGGGTTAACTAGGGAGCAGTTGTGGATGTTTGAGAATCCAGGCCGGCTAGCACAGAGGGCAATTATTCTAGCAGCCACCAGAGGGCACTGTGTCAGCAACTTTAAAACTGAAACGGATCGACCGGGCTTAGGCCTTTGTTCCTCCAAGAGCGCTCAGCAGAGGGCAGTATCAACACCAGGGTGACTGTTAGAGAAGCTGACTCTAGGGGTCCCACAGAAACCTAGTGAGGTGAAATCTGCTTTCCAACAAGAGTACCTAGGTCACTCGGGTGTGCTTTCCAATTTGGAAGCACTGAGTCGGACTAAGTTTCAGGATGACAACTGAGCTCTCCCCTCTTCGGGAATTGGGCTGACATGTCTGTGCATTTGGAGAAGTGTATTTGCCAGTGGGTTCTACAGCCACACTGCTTGGATTTGAAGCATCACATCTGGCAGCATCACTTGCTCAATAAACCGGGTTTCCAAAAAAACACACTCAGAAAGTAGTTTTGAGAAAGAGATGTACAATAAATGGCTTCATACGTGAGTCATTTGGATGCAGGGAAGCCGTTTTTCTGAGTCTTTGTTTCTGCTGTCCTTTACTTTGGTGACTCACACATACACAGGTGAGATCATCCCTGCTGTATTTATTCAGTGAGCTTCCTGGGGTCTGTCTCCACGTATTGGTGTGTGTGTACACAATGGAGAAACAGCTCACTAGTGTGAGTAAGAAGGATTTCACATCCTAACCATTTTATTGACTTCAAGACACAAAAGACTCTCTCTCTCTCTCTCTCTCTCTCTCTCTCTCTCTCTCTCTCTCTCTCACACACACACACACACACACACTCATATTTGAAGCAAAAGAGACAAAGCATAGCGGTGTTCTTGGCCTAAAACATCAATAAGCTCTTTCAACCAAATACTAAAAATGACTCTTATACTTAGAGATGTGGCATTGACACCCCAAAGAATTCTCCAATAATTTTCCCATTTAATAGGTACAAGGACCGGAAATTGGAAAATGAGTAGACTTCTCCACAGGGTATAACATACAAAGTCCCCCAGCTCTGTGGGCTTTGGTTCTTCCCCATTCACTTCAATTGGATTTACAGTTGAGTGGTTTCCCTCTGAGTTCTGGAGCTTGAAAGAGTGAGGGGAGAGAGGACTCTCCATGCTGGGGTGGATCTCCAGGGTCCCACCCTTGAAACTCCACAGGGCAACTGACAGTGTGAAACCAATATTTCCTTGTCACTCAATTGTAGACCAGAACCCCTTCCTCTTCTCAAACATGCACCTTTCCTGATTCTTTTTTTTCCCTTCTCATTCGATCACATATTTGTGAGCACCTTCTAGATGCAAGGGCTGTAGAAAGAGAAACAAGGCCATGTGATAGAGCTGTGGTTCTCAGCCTTCCTAATGCTGAGACCCTGTAATACACTTCCTTAGATTGTGATGACCCCCCAACCATAAAATTATTCTTGTTGCTACTTCATAGCTGTAATTTGGCTACTGTTATAAATCATAATGTAAATATCCGTGTTTCCCAATGGTCTTAGGTGACCCTTGGGAAAGGGTCTTTGACTCCCAAAGGGATCATGACCCACAGATTGAGAACCACTGCTCTAGAAAGAAGGGATTTCTAAAATATGAATGAGGACACAGACAAAGAACAGCCAAACAAAGATTATTTCAAAGTTCCAGAAAAAGAGAGAAGATAAAGTAGTTGTGAGTGAGGAAAGTGGACAGCTTAGAGCCAGCGGTTAGGCAGACTCTTGGGCGAGCTAAGAGGGGATGACATTTCCTTCAAGCTTCTAATTAGAGAATAGCTAAGAAAAACCCCCATGGCAAGATGGAGTTTGGTGCGTTTGAGAAGCCAGAAGAATTAGAATGCCTGTAGGGAGCTGGTGGAGGTAGTACAGGACATAAAAAAATGAGTCAGTGGCCGCCCAAGGTGGAGGCACCTGGAGGTGTGAGCCTGGAGGCCTCGGGACACACTATGACAGCTCTTGTGTGTATTACCTAGAGTAAACTAAATGCTGTTGGGAAAGGAAGCTGCCTTTCATAATGGGGCTGGGTAGCTGGAGGGTTCTCTGATGCTGAGACACATGCCTGTTTAAATGATCTTCACTGTATATAGAAATAGGCTCAGTCTATCCCTATGTGCTGCATGTCCTACCATAAGTTACTTTTGGATGCTCACTCTTGGTGGCTCTTGAAGAGAACATTACAGTGTAGAAATCAAGCCCACTCATGAAAAGTCTCAGATATTAAAATTTTTAGCCCTAGCAGCAACTGTTATAATTACCTTCGGTTGTAAATCTGTTTTTTCTCAAAGCACCATCATTCTTCATAATGAGTTCTGTAATTTCCCCATAGAATACGACCCATTTCGGCTGGAGAGCTGAAACTAAGCGCTGGTGGTTGATCACTGTCTGTAATTTGCATTGCTCTTTATCCAAGAAAATATTCCTTCTTATTAGCCAGATTGAGACCTATTATGAATGTCAATGTAACTTAATTAAAGCATAATATTGATCATAATACCACTCTCCTGACACAAATGCCCTCCCCAATGATGCTTACTTACCTAAACCTTCACTGATGAAGTACGAAAATAAATCAGATAAAGGCATTTTTGATGAGTTAGGGAGATTTAACCAAAGTCTTTCTTAATGAAAAAATAATAGAAAGTAGGAGAAGAATTGTATCTGCTAAATTATACACACAAAAGGACTTCAATAAAATAAGAAATGTGTTTTGCTACCTTTCTATTTGACTGTCAGGCAATATTTATTAAACTCCTAAGTAGTCAATTCACTGTGTGCTATAAATGTTAGCCCACACAATGAGTTCACACTCTGTTAATTTGCCCCAGTTCTGTTTATTATTGGTTAAAGTGCACAAAGCATTAGACAAAGTTTACAATCTCATGTTTCTGGCTTAGTATTTACGTATGTAATGATGCACAGGAGACTGAAGTGACTACTATAATCATGGAGATGTTCACAATTTTTTTCAAATAAAAAAAAAAACCTGCCCATTTCGATGGGAGAATATTTTAATGGCATTATGGTTAGGCAGGAAAAGGTCCCAAGCCGGGTTGATGTTTGGAGACTGGGGCAATGGGAGGTGAGTGTTAAGGATGATCGAGTGGCCAAGCTCTTTCCATGTAAGGCTCTGTTCTGTGTGTGTGGAGAACAGTGTCGTTTATTTGGAGATTCTTGGTTGGAGTTTTATGTAGTTGTTCCAGAAATGACTGAGCTGTCATCTTGGAGTTAAACAGAGGAAGAAAGAGATGACTCAGATCTGAAAGGAAAGAGAAGGTGGCAGCAGAGTCCCTGCTTGGGGATTCCCAGGGCGCTTAGATACAGGCTGTGCTTGCCACAGTCTCCTGGACTGAGGGGCTAAATGGTGGCTTTGGTGAAAAGGTCCTCTGAACTAGGAGAATCTGTGGACACACAGTTTGCACTGAAATGCTTGGGGGTACAAATACCAAAGAGCAGCCCACACTGCATTAACAACAGCTGGGGACCTGGAGCTCAAAATGTAAGATTCTGGGTGAGAAGGTAAAGAGAGTCTCCAAAGCCATCGATTCGTAAGAAGCAGTTCTTCGGGTCTGTTTCCCGTGAGACACCAGGATGGCATCACAAGATGGCTGGAGCTTAGTAAGTCTTCCTGCTTCAAACTCACATCCAAAAGAGAGAGCAGACCCCCTCCCGGCCAGTATCCAAGGACAGTCCCAATGATGGCTACTACTAGCCTGAGTGGACTGGACTGTGGTGCCCGGTCTGGGTTCACTGGGGCTGGGTATAGAAATGGGGGGAAGGACTGGGAGGAAGTAGTGAGAATGTTGGAAGTTAAGTTGGAGAATTTAGACATCAGGAACAGTTTAAAGTCTATAAAAAAAAATTGCTCAACTGCTCCAGAAAACCCAATTTTAATTCTCTTTCCATAGCTGTTATATAATGAAATAATGTTTTCTCCAAGCTAAGAGTTAGTTAGACAGACCCATTTAATCTATATCAATAGTATAGTGTTGTTGCTTAGAGATAACGTCTCATGATGTAGCCTTAGCCTAGTCCAAGATTTAGGTACCTTCTGCCCAGGCCTAACGACAGCAGCTTTAGATGAGACCCATCATACTCAGGACTGAGCATTATTGATTTGACTGCACTTTTGAAAGTTTTGGAGACACGGCGGACTCATGAATTCTCATCAGCACGGAAGCTGGATACTGGAAGAATCTGGAAGTCTTTCAGTAACAGGGTCTGGGCCTTAGCCTTTCCATCTCCATCAGACTCTAAGGCTCACTGCCCAAATAGGATGCCAGCCTTGCAGCGGGGAGCCCAGCTGTGAAGCTCCAAAGGATTTTCCAGGCCTCTCTCTGGGCATCCTTGCACGCTTTCTTCAGGGCTCTCCCAATAAATACCAAAAGCCTGAGTAGCAGGAACTCCTGCCAGCAGCTCACAGTTGGAACGACGTGTTAGCCAGCAATGTTTCCCAGATGTGCAGACTCAGTGTGCTGGGACATCTGCTTAGAACAGGGTAGATGTTTATCCTGCTAACTGAAGAGGGTGTGTGGCAGGCGCCCTTCTGGATACAAATGGAGGGATCCTGTTGAATGTGTTGAACGTGGTGAGAACCTGGTGAAGAAAATGAAGATAGTTTTTTAGATAGCAGGAGACCTTGGGTTTGGCCCCACATTGCCTTAGAGGTTGTCTCTTCCTTCCAGGTCAGCGTGGAGGAGGGTCAGGAAGACATGGCTTAGTGTTCCTATGGCAGTTTCAAAGATCCTGGAGGGCTAGTCTAGGAAGACCTGGGGGTCCTTTTCTTTTTGATTTCCTTTTGACTTGTGCTGAGACTTCCCAGCCTGAGGATTCCTGCCTAACGCTCTCCTGAACTACACCTGGTAGAACTTTCTTATTGTCAAATTAGCAAAGCCTTTAAAGACTAAAAACATGGATATTTGCATTTTAAAGAGTGTTAACCGCCGCCTTGATTATGAACGGAGACTGGAAAACAGGAGAAAAGTCGGGTGGAAAATGCATTATTTATGTGGGTTTGTTTTTAATTGATTGATTTGAATAATTTCCAGCACGCTGGTGCAGACTGACAGCATATGCTATTTGGTGGCTGTTGTAGCAGCCTGGCTTTTCTGAAGGAGGGCAGCTTTTCATCTGGGAATGTTGACCTTGGGCAGAAGAATAGATTATGCTGTAAACCTGCCTCAGCTGTTACAATTATTCTCTACTTAAAAAAAAAAAATCTGCCTTGCAGGTGTTGAAATCCCTACCCCTGTACCTTCCTACTTAAAATTCATGTCCAGGAGCCCCCTCCTGCAACGTAAATATTATTCAGGAAAGTCATGTATTTAGCCCACTCACATCTGGTTTACATAGACTGTCTCCTTGAGTTTAATTCTTTGTCCTGCACTTTCCGGTTGGAGGCGGTACCTAAGATTTCTTTATCCACACCATCTGAATTCTTGATATTGGGGTTAATCCTCAGTCCGATTGACTCAATAAAATCATAGCACACTGGCACATTTATGTAACTAATCCCCGAAGTGTGTGACACAAAACACCATTATATACGGCTGATGCTGCGAATGTAATTATAACCCCTCTGGTAATTATCATGCATCTCAGTCCTCCTGAGCTCAGTGTTGAGTCCTCTTCCCACTATTCCGATTCGCCATTTCCTAACAAAAAGGAATGTTAGCCAGTTGCTAGGAAACTCGGCGGTATTGTCTGTGCCCTCTCCTTTCTGCATTCTGCTGGCTTCCTTCTCGCGGTCTAATTATAATTGTTTTCCTTCTGAAGGCTGTCTCTCCATTCATGGCTGCCATTGTCATCCGATAGCTGTCAGGGTTATTGTCACTATTGAATTCAGTGATGAGAAGCTACAATTTGCTCATCCTTCAACAGAATAGAAAATTGACGCGTCCTTACGAGGCATCTGCATGCTGTCAGAGAATTCATTTTCCTCCCAGAGGTCACATTTCCAAAGAAAGTCCTCACTACTTGGCACCCCTCCCACCTCTAACGTGCCTCGTCTCTCTGGCTCCTACTATATAATCCCTGTCCTTGAAGATATAGGCTTGGGTCTGGATTATAGTTACGTTTTGTGTATGATGATAAAATCTGACAGAAAGTAAAGTGATGAGATCCACTCAGTCTGTGAAACCAAAAGAACACACACATGACAGAAACCACATTGAACTGTGGCCCCACTGTGTGCTGGGCACTGATCAGTGAGTTACATGTGTTATCTTGCTCATTGTTCCTAAATTCTCCAGGGTGAACAGGGAAGCTGAGAAAAGTCTCAGAGCCAAGCCTGGGTAAGTGGATGACAGAACCAAAGTGTCTTCACTTAAGATGTCACTGAGTATAAGAAGCGGCTACAACTTATAAACAACTGTACAATGAGTGTAAGATAAAGTTTGAACTCAGAAATACGAAAGTAAGGGAAAGCATTGAATCTTAACCCCAAAACTCATCCGTTGGAATTGTTCTCTAACTGCTATTCCAGAGGAGCAATGGAACTAGACCCTGTCTTCATATTCTGTTGTTTGCCCATACACACTTCAACCTCTCCCTACCCATTGGCCTAGACACGGATAGTGCAGATTTTCTTTAACCTAGAGTCAGAGTCTGTTTCCATCACCTGGCAGAAAAACTGTCCTGAGCAAAATGAATTTATCCAGCTAACTTCATTCATCTGGTTCTGTTTGCCTTATCATATTTTCTATTATACACACTGGTGAAAACGCCCAAGCCCTCACCCCAGTAGCCTGTGGTTTCCTGCGTGGCAAGATCTGTCATTGTTTTTCCTGACAGTGTTATGGACTTTGTACATACTGAAGTGGAGGCTGGTGCTTAATACTGTTTTCAGATGGTCAGCTACAGTGTTCTAGCCTTATGGGGACAATGACATCACGAAGACACAATCTCCCCCTCTTCCTCCATGAAAAGCCATCTCATGGTCAAGTTTTCACCTGCCCTTCATGGGTTTCTTCAAGAGCCCAAGAGTCTGCTCTTTCTGTAAGACTATATGACTCCTCAAAAATTGGATTTGTGCCTGCTGTTCATTGAAAGAGAGGACATGAATGAATGATGGGGATGCTGGGGACGGAGTTGGTTTTACTGGACTCAAAGATGGAATCAGTAGAGCATAGTTGCTGTGGGATGTCTTTCTGTAGGGCTGTGATTATGTTTTATTACCATTGGTTAATGAAGACGCTGCTTTGGCCTTGGTAAGACAGGATAGAGCCAGGTGGGAAATGCAAGCAGAGATACAGGAGAAGAAGGGCCAGATCAAGCAGATGATACTACAGATGATTAGAAACTTTATTTCAACATGGATGGTATAGCATGAACTTCTACAATCTGTTCCTCTTGAGAAAATAGCCACTCTGTAAGCATAAATTCATCCCACAATGAGGCAAGGGATGTCCACTGCTTAAATACTTTGACACAAAGAGTTATGAGACAAATAGAGAGTTTAGCTGAATTTTTCTTCACAAACACTTAGTTGTTCACTAAATGAAAGAAATAGAAGATGAGCATCTAATTTAATTGGGTGGCTAGTCATTTAATTCCCCTTGATCTTTCTTTCCTGTTACACCTTCTCTTGGAATTATTTTATAAAGGGAACAAAATTAGAGCGAGACCTTGACTGAGAATTTACAATAAAAGCCCACCTGGCATCACTACAGAAACCAGAAGTAGGAAAAGGACCATGAACGTTCTCTGTTTAAAATCTAGATTTTTTGTTCAAGGCTTTGAACTTTGAACTTTATGGAATGAATCAGGGTTTGGTTGGCATATCTCCGGATAAAAAGGACAGGCGTGTAGCTTGATTTTTCCGCCTTGCCCACAGTCAGGACAAACCTCTGTCACCCGCCAGTCCCACAGCCGCTCAGACCCAACCAAGTAAACACAGACACTTATATTGCTTTCAAACCGCATGGCCGTGGCAGGCTTCCTGCTAACTGTTCTTATCTCGCTAACTGTGCTTTTATCTTAAATTGATCCATTTCCATACATCTATACCTTGCCATGTGGCTGGTGGCTTACTGGCGTCTTCACATGCTGCTGGTCATGGCGGCGGCTGCAGCCTCTCTGGTCATGGCGGCGGCTGCAGCGTCTCCTTCTGCCTTTCTGTCCTTTTATCCTGCCTAGCCACGGCCGATCAGGTTTTATTTATTAACCAATCAGAGCAACTTGACATACAGACCATCCCCCAGCACAGCCAAGTGCAGACCATCTCAAACACCTGCACTCAGGCCCATGGTCCTAATCATCCTCTATACGGACCTGCTGGGTAACGCCACAAAGAACCTGAGAATGGGCTCCCACAGGACATACAGAACATCCCACAGCACAGGCGTGTTTCTGTTTTAATTGTCGATTGTCACTAATTTAATTGTCACTAATTTGGTGAGTGACCTTACATCATCCGTTTTCAGCTATCAAGTTCACAGATTCTCCAATAGAAGCAGATGAAGACTCTGTGTCAGGAGGGATCTATTGGTTCCCTCCTTCTGGAACAGACTCTATCCTGCCCTACGCAACACTTTCCATCTTTTATGAGTGCTGTGTTTCTGGATTTCCTTCTGTCTCCTGGATTGTTTAAACCTTACTTTCCAGACTTGTGTGACCTCTCAGGAAGACTGTTAGACTCAGGCTGGCTCAGCCCCTGTATGAGTAATACTATTTCCCACTGGACACCAAAGCAAACTCTCCCATCAATCATGCCTGTCAACCTCCCAACACTTGGACTGCATCTCCGTGCCACATACCAGACATCCACAACTAATGCAGTCTCAGCATAAAACCTTTTTGCCGACATATACTGGAGATTAGCCCTTTCATTTTCTTAAATTATTGTAAATACTATATTACTAACCAAATTGTTCCAGGATTTCTTTTCTACATGATGGGATGTTCCCTTTAGCATATTTTTTCTCTTGGATTATAAAATGATATTCATTCACTGTGGCTAGGAGGATTATTTCGTGAAGGAAAAAGCCCTCCCAGCAGGAATTCTGGTCTTGGGCTTTTTTTTATACCTCATCTGACAGAAATGAACAAAAATTTAATCTAGGAACTTTATAAATCAAAATGTGAAATCCAAAATCACAAGAAAAGCATGTAGGCTTAGAGTTTTATTAACTTTTGTATGCACCTGCTTCATGCATTCCTTGGGCATTTTTTTTTTTTAAATCGAAGAAATCAGAAATGCGGTGTTTGTTATCTCTGATGTCCAGAATGTGCGCTTCTTTCTCCATGTGGCTTAAAATAGACACCGCCTGCCATAAGCAATCAGCTCCTAGAAGCAAAATATAAATTGTGGGTTCTTATAATAGCACAGAATGATTCCTCTGATATTGTCTTTTAATGTGTTCATTTGCCGCGGGTTAGAATGGGGAAACTTCTGGCAACAGTGTGGAGCACATTAGCTCCTGTGCGCAATGAATCCTGGCTGAGGAACAAGACCCAGTTCTAACATTAAGATGATAGCCCTCTCTCACCAGGCCTCAGGCCTGGACAAAGAACTACAGACAGCTAAGGAATTCTGAGAGAGGGAGGAAGCGTCTTCCCCAGAAGAGCCCCACAATTGATTACCCAATACCAGGTGGTCAGCCCTGACATCATATACAAACAAGTAATGTGATACAGACTGAGCGGGTTGGATTTATTTATATAGGAATATATATATATATATATTATACATATTATATTATATTTAAATATATATTATAATTAAAGAAAAAGAGGCATTGAATTTGTGAAAGAGGAACAGAAGTGTACATGAGACAGGCTGGATATGGCGAAGAAAAGAGGGAAATGATCTAATTAGATTTTAATTTCAAAAAATAAAAAAAATATTTTTAAAAAGCATGCACACAGAGAGACAGAGAGAGACAGAGAGTGAGAGACAGAGAAGAAGAGAGACAGAGAAAGAGAGAGAGATAGAGAGAGGACAGAGAATAATATCCCTCTATGCCATTTTTCTTCTGTCAGTTTTACCAAAGATCTCAATTGTTAGCTTAGGCAAAGCTAAAGGACTTTGCTGGGTTATTGGAGGCAGGACATACAGGACCCAACACCAGACCTTAGACACTGGTCAGTTCTTACTGTGTGCCCACAATTAGTTTTATGGCAGTGCTTGAAGACCTTTTCTCTAGGCAAATCTCAACAAGTACTTGCAGTAGCAAGCTAGTGCCTTACCCATCCCATCACCAGGTGGTAATCTTTCTTAAAACCACATTGAGACAACAGTGTAATTGAGGCACAGATAAAATCCAGGAACCAAGGGTTTGTCTAGATCACCTTGATATTCCTGCTGGAAAAATGGATCATACCCACGAATGCAGTGTAAAGACATGGGGTGAAGGCAGTTGTCTACACAAAGAGACCTAAACATGGGGAAACAAAGGATGTGCCATCAGACTAAAACCCTTTTCAGGGCTAGGTAAGCTCCGTGGAGGAGTCAAAGAAGGGTGGGAAGTAGGGAGTCATTCACTGGTGACAGAAAGCTCAAGAGAAAAACAAGGGTTCCAGGTAGAGAGAAAACGATCTACTCATCAAAACCTTTTGTTTTAGTGGACAGTTCAAGCAAGCTTGTTCAAGCTGAGGTTCAGAAGTGAAAAACACCTGACTAAGGGGAAGGAGGTTTTATTTTTTATTTGTTTTATTTAA